ATCTTTGGCCATTGGTAATTACACCCAATTTTTAGCCCCTGTCTCCTTTCCAGAGGTTGGCATGGGGAGGGGTACTGAAAGTCCCCATCCTCTAATCACAAGGTTGGTTTCTCTGCCTGGGAACATTCCCTAACCCCAATCTTAGGTTCCCCGAGGGCTTTCTGAAAGTCAATTCATTAACACAAAAATTTGCATCTTTACAGCTCTATCAGGAGATTCCGCAGATCTGTGCCAGGAATTAGAAGGAAGACTAAGTATATACTTATTACAAATATCACAAAATCATCATTACATGTTTTTAGAAACTCTTTTTTTTACTTGTCCTTTTAAGTAGAGAGTAAGTCAGCAATGATAGATATAAAACTAGATTTGAACTCCCTTCTCCCTCAGCAAGCATTCAAACAAAACAAATAAGCAAACAAAGGCTAACTGGAATACTTATCAAGAGACAGCCAGTTCATATTTTTTCCTGATTTCAAAGAAAGAAAGAACAATTGTTCCTGGGTAAATGTTAAGCCTCAACACACACACACACACACACACACACACACACACACACACAGGCTGGTTTAGAAAGACTCCTCCTAATTTTATATGAGCCCCGTTTCTTTGGAAGATTTTTCTCATATTTTCCCTGCCTTGACCCACTGTGTCGTATCTGGCGCTCAGTTTCCCTAGTCTATTCTTCATTCTGAGAGTAGAATGTTGGTTTTTGCTTTTAGCTTTTTCTTCAAACTCTCTCCTCATTGTCTTCTCTCGTTCTTCTGCTCTCCCTCCTTACACACACATATGGACACCATTCCTCTTATTTATTGGCTTATTATGGTTGTTCTACATTTACGAGCACTTTGGGGGTACCAGACACCAGGTTGGATGCCAGGATTACAGAAGTGAGTAAGAAATACTCCTTGGCTTCAGGGAATTCATAATCAAAGGAGGAAAACAGATGACAATAGAGATAGAGAAGCACCATACAAGGCACTAAGTGCTATCTGAGCACCAAAGGAAGAACGCCCTTCTCTGCCTGTAAGAATGTAGAGGATATAGGTGAGTGTGTGAGTAGGAAAGAGAAATTCCCTCCTTTGAGGGTGCCACCTCCTCAGTGGACATGCTACCAGTGGGGCTGTCAACCCCATAGGCCACCCTCCTTCCACTCACAGTAGGTGTGCTCCCCCATATCTTCACCACACCACACCACCACTTCCATCATGAGCAACCAATATAATAAATCTCTAGTACCTGGAGCTCCTCCAGGGCCTCTCTTAGCTTTGACTCCTTTCTCAGAAAAGGCGGCCAGCCCTTTAGGCAACAACACTCAAGGTCAGTTCTCATCCTCTGTTCAACATAACCACCAAGCTGCATCCATGTCCTTTAAGTAGCAGTACCCCTCTAGCGTGAGGGCAATGAGACTGGCGTCCACCTGGAGATGCGATGCTACATTGAAAATGCGTGTGTAAAGCTCACCATTATATCTGGCACATTGAAGATGCTCAGTTACCTTGAGTTTTATTTCTATTTTCTTCCACCTCCCCTTCTCCCCTACACCAACTTGATCCTCTAATCAATTTTAATCTCAATCCACCCCTGGGATTTCAAAACTGCTTCATCTCATAAAATCCTTCCTTTCCTCAAGTGAATCTGTATAGTGCTCCAAACAAGAATCTTCCACCACAGTTATTTTCTCTCCCCTTTGCTACAAAGGAAGATTTTAGAAGAAAGGGCCTTTTTCAGAGCTTCTGCACAGGAGACTCTACTGACATATAGTGGTGATAAAGAGAAACACTTCCCCCCTTCTCAACCCCCCCCCCGCCCCAAATCAAAAGGCAGGTGGGGATAAGAAGTCAGTTTCCCTGGAGAATCTCCCTGAGGGTTGCTAACTGGACACTACAGAATCACATCTGAAAACTTTGTCTGCATATGTCAGCAGTCAGGAGTACAATGCATCTTTCAGAAATTATTATCGTTTGCATCTTCAAAAAGACACAAACCATAACCGTAGGGAGCTGGAGTGGCTGTATTCATATGAAATAAAATATATTTAATATGAGACATTATTACAGAGAAAGAGGGATGTGTCATAATGATAAAAATGTCAACAGACAGGCAGAAACAATTGTAAATAAATGTGTACTTAACAGCAGACCCTTTCAATCATAGGAAGCAAAAACTGCTAGGATTGAAAGAATTCAGCAAAATTGGGTTTCCATATTTTATCCTCAAGCACTGGAAGAAAAACTAGACAGAAAATCAAGAAGAAAATAAAAGATTTGAACACTATTAACCTACTTATCCTGATGCATTTATATACATATATATATAATCTTTTTTTAAAATTTTTATTTATTTATGATAGTCACAGAGAGAGAGAGAGGCAGAGACACAGGCAGAGGGAGAAGCAGGCTCCATGCACCGGAAGCCCGATGTGGGATTCGATCCCGGGTCTCCAGGATCGCGCCCTGGGCCAAAGGCAGGCGCCAAACCACTGCGCCACCCAGGGATCCCCTATATATATAATCTTAACATAATAATGCAATATAATACAAATTAATAAATTATAATATTAATATAATATGTAATTATATATATTGTGTCATATTATATTACAGTATAAAACTCTCCTCCCATTTTGGGAATAGGTTTTTTTTTTAAGATTTTATTTATTTATTCATGACAGACACAGAGAGAGGGGGGCAGGGCAGAGACACAGGCAGAGGGAGAAGCAGGCTCCATGCAGGGAGCCCGACCTGGGACTCGATCCCAGGTCTCCAGGATCACACCTGGAGATGTGACGCTACATCTCCAGGCCGAAGGTAACACTAAACTGCTGGGCCACTGGGGCTGCCTTGGGAACAGGTTTTGAGTGAAACTAGTGAGTATCATGAAATATCACTCCCAAAATTATGGTTTATGGCAAAAGGACTTTTGAGGATATAAGTAATATTACTAGGAGTTGATTTGGGGTTAATCAAGGGGAGACTATCCCAACAGCCGTGACCTAATCACACAAGCCCCTTATATCTAGGTCTAGAAGTCAAAGCTGCCATGTTGTAGAGAGGGCCACGTGGCCATGGATGGTGGTGGATGGCCTCCTAGAGGCTTCCAGTTGACAGCCAGCCAGAACATGGCACCTCATTCCCAACATCATTAGGAACTAAACTCTCTCAACACCCTGAATGAGCTTAGAAGATAACCCCATGTCCAAGATGATTAGCAGCCCTGGCCCATACCTGATGTCAGGCACATGAGACCCTGGGTGGGGCACCCAATCCCACCATGCTCAACTCTGGACCCAAGGAAACTATGAGATAATCCATTTGGATTGTGTTAAAACAGGAAATTGGTAATAATGTATGTGTTCTGGAGTGATAGGAAACAAATGCCAATCATATGCTAGTACTGAAAAGCAGACCATAAGTTTTAAAAGATTGAAATAAAACAATTTCCCTGAACAAAGTGGAATTAAATGAGAAATCAATAGGAGAACAATATTATAGAATCCCCTACATAACTGTAAATTTAAATCACTCACTTCTCAATTGACAATGGGTTGAAGAAATAAAAAAAAGGAAATTGGGAAAAAAATTTAAGTTGAATAAAACACAAAATGCATCAAAATATATGAGAGACGGCTAATACCAGATCTAGAGGAAAATGTATAGCTTTAAGTGCTTATATCAGAAACAAAAATGTCTCAAATCAAAGCCCCCTCCTATGAAACTAGAAAAAAAAGAAGAGGAAAAAAATCCAAAGTAAGCAGAAATAAGGAAATAATTAAGGCTAGAGTGAAAAAATCAAGGAACAATAAATAAATCAATTAATAATAAATAAATAATTAATTAAATGAAAATAAATAAATAAAGAAGAAAAAATCAAGGAACAGAAAAATAATAAAGAAAGCTCAATGAAACTAAAAGTTGATTCTTTTAAAATACCAGCAAAATTGAAATAAAATGAGAGAGAAGATACACATTATGAAAATCAGTCATGGGGGCACCTGAGTGGCTCAGTGGTTGAGCATCTACCTTTACCTCAAGGCATGATCCTGAGTCTTAGGATCGAGTTCCACACCGGGCTCCCCACAGGGAGCCTGACCTGTTTTTGATAGGAAATCCCAACAAAATACCTCAGGGCCAGGAAGCCCCAGGTTGTGGCGGTGGCTGGACTTCTCATGGGCGGCTTGTCGTGCGGGCCTGCTATGTACCTAGCCCCAGAAGCACACATTCCGTGATGTCCCTGAAGCCACAGGCAAATCACTAGTCACGCTGTTACCAATAAAGAATGCTGACAAGCTGGCACAAACCACCCAGAAACTCCTCAGATCCGCAGTTACAATGCGTGGAATCCATGTGTTCACGCCTGGACTAAGGGTCAGTCCTTGCAGGGACTCCTGTGGAGCAGCCCAGGCTGTTCAGGCTTCTTGAAATTAAACCTGACAACACAACCAGGCATTTCGACAGACTTCATTGGACTAATTACTGCTCGTGTGGTCTTGGATCAATGCTCAGCTTTCCTTTTTTTTTTTTTAATTCTAAAATACAGATAATAAGTAGATCTTTGTGTCATGTAAGGACTGGAAAAAGAAATTCTGAGTGCCATTCACTCTACCTCTCTCTGATGTCTGAGATAAAGGAAAGGAATCATTTTCATCCTTCAAACGTGTAGTCTCAGCAAGGAGAGAAAAGCATGTGGTACAGGAAAGAGGCCAGGGTTTGAAGTGATCTCCTTTGATGGGGACACCTTGAGAACATCACTAGAACCAGAATAGAAGTATTAATACAAACAGACTTCAGGGAGTTTGAGTCTAAATAAAAGAATCAGGTGAAGACAAATATGATGGAATATGTACCATCAGAAGAGGTCAGGAAGCTGTTAAAATATCTCTGTTTCTGAGTGTGGTAGATTTTGATCATCTTCCAATAATATTAGGGCCAGCTTATCTCTACTGGCCTTCTACGTAAGCTGAAGTGGAATTAAAGACGCCTAGAGTAGCAGTTCTACGGTAACCATCGTCCTCCCCAGCCGAGGGCAGGGGGCGAGTGTGGAAGAGATGAAACACGAGGTTGCAAACCAGGATAGCGTGCTACCTGAACCCCCAGCGGCCCACGATAGACCCCAAGGTAGGCACAGCGCATTTTCGGGTTTATACACTCCGGTGGAAATTGGCAATGATTCTGTGCTTGAGTCTGGGTCCGGCATGTACAATAATCCTTGGATTGGGAGCAGATCCAAGCTGAGAGAGTGAGGATCTGGGGAGGCGAGCAGGGAGCAGAAAATTCCTTCTCTGCCGATGAGGCAGGTGTTCTGTGTCGGTATTTTCTTATTATTATTTGTTTGGTAAGAGCAATGCTGTTACGAACACCTCACCTCCTGCCCAGAGTCAACAGGCAGATTTCTGCCTCATTTGGTTCATGTTACAAGACACAAATAAATAAATCTTTGTAGACAGAGCTGAAGTCCCAGCCCTGAGCTGCTGGCCCCCTTTCTTCCCTCCCGCGCTCAGAGATCATCTTTATTTTTCCCTTCTTTTCCATGTAAAAATTTTACCACATGCATATGCACTCAAACACAGGTTAGGGCAGTGTCCTGTTTTAAAATTGGAGTGTTGAAAAGTAAGATTATCTTCTTCCCTGGAAGCTAAATATGCCCTTTTCTTAAACTCTGAAATAAACTGAGAGAAAGGTTTTCACAGAGGCAAATGTACGCTATGGAGTCAAGAGTAATTTAGAAAGTTTCTAGAGTAATGTGTCACCCTAGACATCCTTTGCAACAAAATTCATATTTTACCCATAAAAATATTACCTGTTTTTGTTTTAGAATTTCAGCAATCAATTCTAATCTTCCTTTAATTGTTTATCATTCGTTCATTTAAAAAGTAAAGGTTATTCTCTCATTACATGCCAAGCAATGAACTGGATGCTAAAGAAACAAAGAAAAAGATAAAGAAAATCTTATATTACCAGGATGTCAGCGTCAGAAAAAGATTTGCTACTACTTTTCATATTTAGCTTCAAATATTTTGTAACTATTTGATTTAATCTTTAGAACAGAAGTGTTTCAGTGAGGGTGTTGTAACCTAATAATCCAAGTATTTCTAGTGACAATGAAAACAGAGAAAGCCTTTTTGGCATGAATTTTGGGGTGTGTAACACATATTATATAATCCTTAAGTTTTGATACACTAATCCCACAAAAGGAAATTTTATAAATGTAAACATTAAATGGATATTTATTTACAATAACAAAAATGTCACTTAAATATATGGCATCTTGGGAGTGCTTGATAAATTATACCATTAGCCTTTTTATCAGATATTGTGCAAATATACGAGTGATGATTAGAAGACACTTGGAGAGATTTTTTTAAAAGATTTATTTATTTATTCATGAGAGACAGACTGAAAGAGAGAGAGACAGAGACACAGGCAGCGGGAGAAGCAGGCTCCATGCAGGGAGCCCGATGTGGGACTGCAATCCTGGGTCCTGGGATCACGACCTGAGCTGGAGGCAGGCGCCCAACCGCTAAGCCACACAGGGATCCCTTGGAGAGATTTTTAAGATATAATCCTAAGTGTGGGCTCAGCAGTTTAGTGCTGCTTTCGGCCCAGGGCATGATCCTAGAGACCCGGGATCGAGTCCCACGTCAGGTTCCCTGCATGGAGCCTGCTTCCCCTCTGCCAGGGTCTCTGCCTCTCTCTGTGTCTCTCATAGCTAACTAACTAACTAACTAACTAACTAACTAACTAACTAACTAAATCTTTTAAAAAAAGATATAATCCTAAGTGAAAAAGATTAGAGATAAACATGTGCCTAAACCATAATTAAGCTCTCAAAACCATTTATATATATCAAGAAATACTGGGATGGAATGAAGACAAATGTTGCTAGCTGTGTGCGGCTAGTATAACCATGTGAATTTTTCTCTATTTTTCAAAATCTTATAATGGATTTATTATGTTAAGTACATAAAAATGGTCTAGTTTGGGGGTGCCTGGGTATCTCAGCCAGTGAAGCATCTGACTTGATTTTGGCTCAGGTCATGATCTCAGGGTGCTGAGAGGGACCACCGCCCTCTGGCCGCTCTGTGCTGGGCGAGGAGCCTGCTTAAGATCCTGTCCCTCCCTCCTCCCCGCCCCCTCACCACTGGCACACATGCTCTCCCTTCCTTTGATTCCTGGAAGCGATAACGAAACTTCCCACCCCAGGGGCACCCACTTACCTGTCCCTGCCTGTCTCCCACTACTCTGCTCCAGAACCCCACATTCCACTCTTCCATCCTGCGGGACCTCAGAACCCACCCTCCCAGGCCTCACTTAAGGGTTGCCTATCATCTCCCTTCAGATAGATTTTTTTGAGAGCCAGAGTAACACGCTTTACAGGTGCACACAATCTGCCAGTGTCTTGTATTCCTCTGAAATAAAACCCTCTCAGGACCAGGAAGCACGAGGCTGCCTTCTTTGAAATGCCTCCCAGAAACGTTTGCAGTATTTTGCGCGCTGAGAGTCATGGGGCTTACCGAAGACTTCTGACTGCATGTGGTCTTTTGCAGAATGAGCAGTGTTGTTGGTATGGATGAGTTTGTGGAGGGCATTTCAACAAATGAAATTCAAAGCACGCAGGTGGGACAAGCAGATGCATCTGATTCTGTTCGGCATCGACCCAGCAAGCTGCACGATTTCCTTAAAAAGAATCTGCATTCCCTGGGTGTAAGTTATCTTTAGTCCTGTAGATATTTGGGGGTGAGTATGGAAAAGTAAGTGGTCTATAATTTTATTTGGGATGAATTATTTTATGCCAGTTCATAAGATTAGGGGATAAATGAGAGAGGAAAATATATCTGGGAGTACCTTTAGGTCAGATGTTTTGGTGTGAAGGTGTTCCGGGCTCCCAGACATCAAATGGAATGTTTTTCCCAAAAATAATATCCCCGTGAGGTAATGTCCATTCACAGAGCTTGGCAAACCGACAGAATTTCTTTGGATTTCACTCCTCCAGGGATTATTTTTAAGAGCCAATCAAGATGGGAAAGATCAAGTGTGATTCATATGTCATCTTGCAATTGAGGGAAAGAAGACTCTAATGTAGAGTTTCTACTTCACCCCAATCTTCTATGTTTTCTTCCTCCAGGTAGCTCAGATCATGATTGGCCTGAAATGCTTCTTGTTTGGAATCATTGAGATTTTTTTTTACTGGCACTCTAATCACAGAGGTCTCTTATTCTGCTTTTATATTGGCTACCCATTCTGGGGTGCAGCATCTGTGAGTATATCTGTTGGAACTACTTTGGATATCAAAGAAGTTATTTAGAAATTATAAATAACGGAAAATACCTTTAATTAGTTTATCCTCTCTTTTTATAGATAATAGCTGAGACTCTTTAGTAGAGGCGCTGTGCCAAGTAGGTAGGGAATTTGTAGGAGAGAAGGTGACAAAAATAGCCTCAGGACCAATCACAAGTACTTGTCAAAACTTAAAAATGCTCTTGAGTCCCATGCTCCCTTCTCTGAAGGGAGGAATCATTCTTCACTGAGATGGTCCAGGGATGCTTTAGAAAGCAAATGAATCTTTAGGATGTTTGGACAGATTAGGATGGGGGTGTGTAGGGAAGGGTCATTCTTCCCATCCAGCTTTGTCACAATTAATGTCATCTCGAGCTCTTGCCTCCCCTTCTTTCCACATCAATATTCCCATTTTCCCAAAATAGACTCAGATTCAACTGGTTTCGATTCAATTGTTTGTTCTTTAGGAATACTCTGTCAGAATATGTGTATCGACTGGGAAAGGTGAGGGTCCAGGTTAGATCATCCAGGGTGGAGGTGGCTGATGCGGATGGGAAACAGCTCCCCATTAACGTCTTCCCTATCTTATGAACAGTTCATTGTATCTGGATCTTTGACCATCTCATGTACGAAAAAACAAACAAAATTTCTGGTGAGTATCCTTTTCCGTTTTGCTCAATTAACAAGTTAATAAGAACAGTCGACTCTGACTCTGTGCACAAAGCCAAAGCAACACAGAATTTAGATATTTCAGTCTATTTCGTTGACTATCTTGCAACTTATTTTTCAACGATCTATTACTTCTTTAGAACATGAAGTATGTGCTTAGCTTTTTGAAGAGGAAAAATCCAACTGTCTGAATGTTCACAAACATTTTTAAAAAAAATCTCCTGGTAAGAATCAAAGTAAGGAAGTCTTTACATATAGATCCTGTTGCAGTGGTTGAAGAGATACGTTTTGCAAGGCTGAAAGGGAGGGATGGTACATGTTGTGGGTGTGTATCAGGGAGCTGCTAATTCAGGGTGGACATAGTAAAGATCCCCCCTGCAAGCGATATTGGAACAAATATAATCCCCATCGTGTTGGCTCCGTCCATGGACTTTCATTTCGGGGGGACCAGTTATTTTCTTCTCTCCCATGAGGTGGGGCGGATTGCCAGCAAATGGCTTTGGTGACGAAGGAAATGGAATTGCCTGTGAAGGATGGCCTGCACTAGCCCAGGGAGCCAAGGTGTGCCTCAAGCACCTTACAGAAGATGTAGGTGCAAATACCAATGGCCCTGAGTATTTCTATTACATGCACTATTCTCTTGCAGATTGGAGTCAGTATGGGAGCTCACATTATCAGCACGCTACTTTCAAGCACTGGGCTAATTCTTCTCTTCGTGAATTTAATTGATGTATTCTTATTTGAATGCTCAGAGTTACGTGAGTGTTCATTGGTTAAATCTTATATAACCGTAAGTACTATTTTGTTGGGTATTTTCACATGCGATGCTTGTTTTCAGTTACATTAGTTTCCAGGGCCTGAAGTCTACCATGAAGTTTCTAAGTGTTGAAAATAGGGGAAAAGAGAAACAAACAAATGTCATCATGAATTTTGTTAAAAACAAAACAAAACAAACCCCTGGTTTTAGAACTGCAGAATTAGGTGTGCATGTTGTTCGAAAAACACATACTCTTATCATTTCAAATTCTCTCTCTTTTCTGGGTACACTGATCTATGAACAGTCTGCCCAAAGAATAGAAACTTGATCTGGAACATGAGTTGAGAATCAGCTTGTGGGTTCAAATGAGTTAAATTAAAAATGTAAATTATAATTAAAATCATACAAAATTTGGGAGCTGGTCTGTGTCCTTTTAATGTTAATTTAAAAGATCAATAATTTTGGTAAACCCATCCTTTCTGTGAGTAAAGTTGAATCACTTGATGTGTGATTATGTGTACGTGTGTGTGTGTGTGTGTGAGAGTGAGTGAGAGAGAGAGAGAGAGAGAGAGAGAGAGACTCTGGTGTGTTCACAGTTAGTGTTTGTCTACGACATGTGGCAAAATGGTAGCAGGAGTAACTAGTTCTAGCATGTGAAGGGAGTTCTTCTGCAGAGCCTCACCACTTAGAATTCCCATAATTCATATTTGTTTCTGTAGGAGTTTACATATGGGAGCTCAGGGAAGCAGGGCTTGGGTCAGATGCAATCTTCTGTCTGAACAGAATGTGCAGACCTTGGGTAGGAAGTGCATCGTTCTGCAAAATATCCGCCAACCCTCGTCCCTGGGCAGCCAGGATGGGAATGTCACTCACAGGCTGAAGCTGGTTGGTGAAATCTAAATTCTTGCTCTTCTTCTCTTCCATAGAGTATTGTGATCCTTCAAATGATAGCGACTTGTGCGCAGATCTTCATTTCCTTCTCACTCTGTGGGCTCACTTACACCACGAATGGCAGTGAGATCAGCCTGGTGAGTAGCCTTGTTTTACTGGGAAGGTGGGGAAGCATTTGAAGCACCTCAGAGAATCCTAGGCTAATTGTCCATTCCAATCTCTGGTTGAATACAGAGTTGGCAAAACCACCACAACAAAACAGCCCCAAACTCTCTTAATGGGAAGGTGTGGGAGCGGGTGGGTTTAGAGGACAGGGGCCCTGTGTTACACTCACCAGCCATTCTGTCTCCACCTATTCCCTTGTAGATACATTTCATTCCTAGTGAGTTACACAGTCAGTTTCCCTAATTCCATTACACATTCAATTTCTTATCCATTCATCTAGAATATACTGAACACAGGATCCCTGGGGGGCTCAGCAGTTTAGCACCTGCCTTGGGCCCAGGACGTGACCCTGGGGTCCCGGGATCGAGTTCTGCATTGGGCTCCCTGCATGGAGCCTGCTTCTCCCTCTGCCTGCGTCTCTGCCACTCTCTCTCTCTCTCTCTGTGTCTCTCATGAATAAATAAATAAAATCTTTAAAAAAATAAAATAAAATATACTGAACATGTATTGTATTTAATGTGTTGTGAGGTAAGGAAACAGTGTCCTTAGCCATGTCTTCAACTAGTGAAAGTCTGATGGATAAAGTAAACACTTAATGAGAAAAGTAGCAATCAAATAAGAAATACAATAGTTTTAGGAACACATAACTGTAATTTCAATATTACTTCTGCACCTCATAATTGTCCATGTCATCCCATCAATCATATACACCCTGACATGTTCACGTGCTCATGCACACATGCATACTCGTGTGTTTATGTAGTCTCCCACAGAGCCACATGCCATGTAGATTCTGTGAAGCCCTCATAAATGGTTGGCCTCACTACACCCCAAATTTATCATACTGATATTTCTGTTTGCATGTCCGTAGGACAAAGGAGAGGGACATACCTCACTGTGTTCATGGATAGCATTTTTTTAAAGATTTTATTTACTTATTTGAGGGAGAGCATGAGTGGGAGAGCAGCAGAGGGAGACTCCCCACTGAGCAGGGAGCCTGAGGTGGGGCTCCATCCCAGGGCCCCGGGACCATGACCTGAGCCAAAGGCAGACACTTAACTGACTGAGCCACCCAGGTGTTCATGGATAACATTTTATTCTTTACGGAATGACCCTTTTCTTACTCCTCAAATGCCTGGTGATGCTGGCATGGATTGTTGGTACATAAATGTCTAAAAAGATCACTGAAAGAAGTTTTTTAGAGTGGTTCCAGACATGGCTGGAATTGCCTTCTCTCTCCCTAGGCTGTCATGAAAACATTTGCTGGCCAGGGTGTCTCAGCTTCGACACTATTTACATAATGACATTTTGTAATGAGTAATTTGAATAATTAATTGTTGTGCAGGGTATGATCTGTGCCTGGTAGGATGTTTATTAGCAACTATCCACTAGATATCAACGATTTCCCCCACCCCTCATTCTGACAACCAAAATGTCTTCAGACATTGCTAAATCTCCCCAGAGGTGCATGGTGGGGGGAGGGGGTGCATGTAAGAGCACCACTAGCTGAGAATCAGGGGGCTACATAGAGCATTGCAGAGAGAAGCTGACATGATCAGACAAAAATCATTGAAAATTTAGTTGAAATAATTGTAGATGCTATGATGTCATATTTCTAGGTTTCTGCACTGAGTTGCTTGATCAGAACACATTCTGAAGATCCTTATCAAGACTTATTGACTCAACCTCAAACTTATGAAGACTTAGTGCTGCAAGATATAGATCCTGTTCACTCTGATCCATGAGACACCGTCATAACATTCTTTACCACATGAATGCATCTTGGATCCATGATATCAATCAAAGACAGATTTTTTTTATAGGAATCTCCTACAAATACCGTCCTCCCTATGTTTTCATTATGCAATTTCACACACACACACACACAATTAGCAGATATGTGTGCTTTACTTTATAGTTGACCAATAAATCCTAGTATTAACACTCCGTAGATTAATAGATCTCTCTTCATTTGGATGACCTATTACCACTTTTCAGCAAATTTTAGTTCTTAGGTCTCACAGAGGAATTTGTTATTACCCACTTGCTTCTTCCTAGAAACTGTACTTCCTTCTTGGTTGACAGTTTATACAAGTAAAAAAATTTTGTACAAATAGTTTGGATAAGTAGTGGCATACCATCTGGCATTGGGGCCAATCTAAGTTCCTTTGACTGTTGAATGTACCAGCTCCTCCTTCTCATGTCAAGGTGAACTTGGGAAAATATAGAAGGTTACAAAGTGCGTATTACCACACTCTAATGTATAACATGATAAAAATCAAATGCAACTTCATTATTATCTGAATGCCAAGTTAGTCACCCTACCACTCAATGATTTTTTAAAAAGTAATGTTGCTTTCTTCTTGGTGATGATGTGTCACAGTGTTTTTAATTTTTTTTAATAAGTCACTATCTAGGGTTTGGTTTCTCAATGGTAGGTTTGGATATTAGGATTTCAGTGTATATTAAAAAAAATAGAAGCCACTGACTGGGAGAAAATATTTATAAAGCATATATTTGGCAATAGTCATATAGCCAGAATATGTAAAGAACTCTAAAAACTCAGTAGCAAAATAGCAAACAATCCAAGTAATACATGTGCAAAATAATTGAGCAGAGAAGACACAGAGATTACAAATAAGTCCATGACCAGACACTCAATATCATTATTTGTTAGGAAATTCACATTAAAACCATACTGGGATTTCTCTATACACTCCTATTAGAATGGCTAAAGTGAAAAAGGTTGATCAAAACCAGTATTAGCAAGAACATGGAGAATAGAAACCCCCCCACACAGCTGGTGGGGATGTGAAATGATCCAATCACGCTGGAAAACACTGTGGAAGTTCCTTAAAAATTCAAACACATACTGATCAGCCAATGGTCCTCTCTTGGGTAAATACCCAGGAGAAACCAAGGTATCTGTTAATACAAGGGCTTGTACACAAATGTTAATAGCGGCTGAATTTGTGATAGTCCTCACGTGGAAACACTTCCAGTGTCTGTTAACAAGTAAATGAATAAACAGATTGGACATACCCAGACAGTGGAATACTACCACCAAGCAATAAAAAGGAAGGAACTGTCCATAGACAATGTGACATGGATGACTCCAGTGTAGTATGCCAAGTGAAAGGAGAAGACAGAAAAAGTACAGGCCACATGATTCCATTTTTATGAAGTTCCAAATGGCAAACTAATTTAGAGCAATAAAAAGCAGGTCAATGGTGTATGGGAATGGGGATGAAGGCAAGGAGGGTCAGGGAACTTTTGGGGAGTGACATTTATGTTCATTTTCTTGAATGTGATGGTGGCTCATTATTATATATCTGAAAAAACTTTTCTTTTTGTTAAGATTTTTATTTATTTGAGAGAGAAAGAGAGCATGAGTGGAGGGGAGAGGCAGAGGGAGAGGCAAAATCAGACTCCCTGCTGATCAGAGAGCCAGGTGTGGGACTTGATCCTAGGACCTAGAATCATGACCTGACTGAGCCACCCAGGTGCCCCTTAAGTCAAAACTTTTCAAATTGTAATTTCAAAAGAACTACAGTGTTTTATATGCCAGTTATACCTCAATAAAGAGTTTCATTTTTTTTAAGAGTTTCATTTTTTTAAAGACATTATGAACAGGACTGAAGACAACTCCTTCAGAAGGCAGAGGCCAGAAGATGGCTAGATGGCTAGATGAGGAAGACCCAGGTCTTCAGACAATTTTCCTAGCCACCGTTACTCTCACGAGAATCCATGCTTTCTTTACACAAATTCGTGACTCACCCCTTGTCACTTGTAAAACTAAGAACATGCTCTTTCCTGGCATGTGAAACAGTATTCTAATCTGCTTGGAAAATCTCAAAAAGTATGGTTTCAGGCTCCAGGTCTTCCTACTACTAGACCCAGATTGCTCAGTCTTAATGTTTCTAGCTTTCCAGGGTAGAGGTTATATCAGGTTGTAAGCCACCCAGTCCCTGATCTAGAGGGTGAAGTCTTATCATACCTAGCTTTAGTTCCCCAGGTTCATTTCATGTTAGAGGAAGAACAGCTATTCTACAAATTTCCATACAGCAGAGAGGAACTATCTCTGCCCCAAGACTATTCACTGTGTGGGTCTCTGCTAAGCACATTACTGACTCTCCAAGAGAGTGAGAAGTGGAATTTAGCTTGATTGTCTCTCCAGCCCTGCAATGGATAGATGACACACACTGTTTTCAAATCTTCCGTGTTTTTTAGTGAAGATGAAGTATCCTGGAAGGTTCCCCTTTAGGGCCTAATCTGATTAGGAGTATCAGATGGATACATAAGATTGTTTAACTCTCACGAGCCATCTCTCATGCCATCCTTCAGCTACGGGCCATTTCACAATCAAGTGAACAGGCCGTACTAATCTTAGATATCTTCTATCTTTGAGTGTTCTTCAAACTAGGACCGATTTTCAGCCTTGGTCCTCAAGAAATCTGATCTTTTATAGAGTTTAAAAGATAGAGTGGCAACTCAATTAAAAGTAACACACACCATTAATCAGAGGCTCCAGTGAGTTACAGTTCATTTTAAAAATTAATTTTCTAAAATAAGAAAATGTTTCAAAATAAAAATTACTAGAGAAAACAAAAACAAACAAACCAAAAAAACAAAGGGCCATTTCTAGCATTCTGGAGATCAAGTGAGTATTCCTTAAGAGATGATAATTAATATTATCAATAATATTAGTACAGGCCAAGATTCTTCCAAAGCACTGTAAATTATTAAATTATTTAATCCTTACACCTCTTATTTGAGGACAGTGCCTATAAACAATGCTTTTACCAATTGGGCACATGAAACCCAGAGATGTTAAGTGCCTCGCACAAAGTCTTCAGGAAGCAGAAACTGATGTGATGAGGATAGGCCCTGAAACAGATGCATGGAAGTCTAACACCTCACGTGTAATGGAAATTCATTTCTCAGGTATGTAACTATTCACACTGGGGGCCCCTGGCCAGAGCAGCTCTCCCCACTGGTGTGATCTGGTGACCCTGACTTCTTCAGTCTGTCTCTGTCATCCCTCAAAACCCTATCCACACGTGTAGTAAACTATATGGAGGCCACCAGGAGAGTCCTTGTGCCAGACCTGGCATGCCTCATTGTCAGTAATGTTACAAATGTGGTCACAGCAGAGAACCACCTGCAGCAGATGCTAAAGTGTAGTCAAACTCTGTGTCCAGAATGGAAAACCAAACAGACTCCGGGCAAGAGCTGGTTCCCTCTGCCACCTGTAATTCTGGTTGCAAAATTACCCACTGGCACCCTTCCCTCCCACTCTCAACACAAACTCACTCCTGTCATCAAAGGACACAGCTCTATCCTGTCAATGTACCTGTCTTAAACACTAGGCTCTCTCAGGGTTCTCAGATGATCTACTTCATCTGTTCCAGCTGGGGTTCCTCGCTGTCGGAGAGCTCTGAGCTTAACAGCAGCAGGAACAACAACAAAAAGGTGTATTTGCCATCACCTCCTACTCTAATTCATGTATATTCAAGGGTGGGAAACACCTGTAATAGCCCTTCCTCCTTCTGGGAGAGTCCAAGCATCTGAAGTCATGTCCACTCTCTCACACACAGAAGTAAGACTCTGACATCACTGCACCAAACCAGCATAAAAGTGCACCAGGCATTGCTCAGATCTGTCCCTCTCATTCCTCCTAGTATAAATTCCTTGGTTTTACCATTTCAACCTCTTCCTTTCTATCTCAAACCTCCAATTTGCATCAGCTGTCATTCTTAGGGCTTTGGATTCCTGTCTGGCTAGTTGCTGTTGCTGTCCTTCTTCTTCTTCTTCTTCTTCTTCTTCTTCTTCTTCTTCTTCTTCTTCTTCTTCTTTTCATTTATTTATTTGGGAGATAGAGAGAGAGAGCATGAGCAGGAGGGGCAGAGGCAGAGGGAGAGAAAAATCTTAGGAAGACTCTACACTGAGTGAAGAGCTGAACTTGGGCTCCATCTCATGACCCTGAGGTAGTGAGCTGAGCTGAAACCAAGGGTTGGATGCTTACCCCACTCGTTTCTTTACTAAGAAATTCCTTCCACATGTGATAGTTACTGTGATGGTTAATGTTGTGTCAACTTGGCTGGGCCACAGTACCCAAATATTTGTTCAAACCATTCTTTTAGAATCTTTGGATTCCCTGTGAAGGTATTTTTTAGATGAGATTAACATTAATATTGGGGGACTTGAGTTAAGCCAGTTATCCTCCATAATGTGGGTGGGCCTAGTCCAAGGAGTTGAAAGCCTTAATAGAAAAAAGACTGACTTCCCAAGAGAAAGAGGGAATTCTGCAAGCAGACTGCCTGTGGACTCAAAATGCAACATCATCTCTTTCCTGGGCTGGGTCACCAAGCTGTGGGCCTACCCTGCAGATTTTGGACTTGCTGTCCTCCATAATTATGTGAGCCAATTCTTTAAAATAAATCTCTCTCCTCTCTTGTTAGATATATAGATACAGGGGCACCTGGGTGGGTCAGTGGTTGAGCATCTGCCTTTGGCCCAGGACGTGACCCCAGGGTCCTGGGACTGAGTCCCACATCGAGCTCCCTGCATGGAGCTTGCTTATCCCCCTGTCTCTCTCTCTCTCCCTCTCTCTTTCTCTCTGTGTCTCTCATGAATAAATGGATAAAATCTTCTAAAAAAATAAGATATATACAGAAATAGTCACAAAAATCTCCTATTGGTTCTTTTATACTTTATGGGTACAACTATTCACCCCAGGACCATGCTATTACAAGCTAAACAGAAAGGTAGAAACCCTGTAAAACCCCTCTATAGAGCAGCAAAAGGGTAAGTCCATCCTCCATGCCCCTTTATCTGTGTGCATTATTCTGTGACCAAAGTATTAATTTTATTCTCTTTTTAGGGGTCCTGACTTAAGTGCCAAGTTTTGAGATTTGAGGGACACCCAGGAAATATTATTTATCTGTCTTCATCATGTTTCTAACCTCTTAGAAAATGATAAAGTAAAACAGGAGATCAGTAAATCTGATATTGGCAGAAGTGGCTTATAATTGGCGGCTTCTAGATTTTCCAGGAGTGTGTCTCAGAACAACACAGTCATGCAGTCATGGCAAGGCTGGGCCCATGTACTACATTTCTAAGCTCTGCAGCCAGTCCACTCTTCCAGAGGGAGCAATGACACTCTACATTGTGCCTGGTTCCTCCGCCCAAATTACCACCACACCATTTCTTCCTTTCTGCGGAAGTAGGAAGTGATGGACAAGAAAGAGGCCAGAAGTGTTGCTCTGGTGGAGCTCCCTCCCCATGGAAGGAAACATCCTAAGAGGAGAAAGAAACCCCCCAGGCACACCACACACACTAATAGTTACCCCTGTTCTATAGATGGGGAATTCGGGCTTAGCAAAGATAAGATCTGTTGTAGGCCACTCTTATGTAGTCATTCAAGCCTGACTCTATTGTGGGGGTATCTGTCCATGGACTATTCTTCACAAAATAACACCAGCTTATCCCAGGAAATAGAGAATTCCCTTTATGTCAATGAAATGTGAACTGAAACATTTAAGGAGGTGATACTTGCAAATACCCACATTCATTCTCATAAAGATCATGGGCGGGTGGATTTTTTTTTAAAGATTCTTATAACTGGACCACGTGAAGAAAATGGAAACAAAACCAAAAAGAAAAATAATGAAGAAATCTCAAATGTTAATTATCTTTTAGGCCTAATTATTCATTTTCAAAAATAATCAGAGTCCCCTCTCTCCTTGGTCTGAGCATCTCCCAATGGTGATAGGCCATACCCCTGTTCCTCTTCCTCTGACTGACATGTCCCTCCTTGGTCCACTTCGGGCCCTTCCTCATGTCATAATGGACTCATCGAGGTTGTCACATGGAGTTGTTGCTTAATAATGTTCCTAAGGATATACATACTCTTCTCTGTCTCTGAAAATGCGTGTGTGTATTTTACCCACCATGCTATAGATGATAGATGGGTGTGTGCATTGTTTCAATTGCTTGCTATCATTATCCTTGCTTTATTACTTTTAAAGATTTTATTTATTTATTTATTTATTTATTTATTTATTTATTTATTTATTTATGAGAGACACAGAGGGAGAGGCAGAGACACAGGCAGAGGGAGAAGCAGGCTCCCTGCAGGGAGACCAATGTGAGACTCGATCCTGGGACCACACCCTGAGCCTAAGGTAGATGCTCAACGACTGAGCCACTCAGGTGTCCCTTTCCTTGCTTTAAGATACCTTTCTGTGGAGCGCCTGTGTGGCTCAATTAAGCTAGTTTTAGCTCGGGTCATGATCTTGTTTCCGTGAGATTAAGTCCAGCATCGGACTCTGTGCTCAGTGTGGAGTGTGCTTCACGTTCTCTCTCGCTCTCCCTCCAGCTTGTTCTCTCTCACTCTCTCTCAAATAAATAAATAAAATATTTTTTAAAACCCCACCAAACGTTTTGGTGCCTGAGTCCTAGTGCACCTGTAGTCTATTGGGCATAGTAGGTCTATACCTAAGAGCACAAGAACTGGTTCTTAGGAAAATATGGTATGTAACTTATGAGAGAGCTTGAAATTGTTTTCCAAAGTGTTCTTTTAAATCACATGCCTCCTTCAAAATGAGAGTAAATGTTCACATTGATGTACATCTTAGCCAACAGCTGGTGTTATTAGGTTCTATAGTCGGCAGGAAGTTATACCCCGCTCTGGACCTAATTTACGTTTCCCTGAAAACTGATAAGGTGGGTTTTCTTGTGCTTTCTGGTTATCTGCGTGTCCTCCTCTGTGAAGTCCCTGTTAATATTTTTTGCCCTTTTCTATGTCTTTTTTTAAAAATTGACTCATTGTAGTCTGTAAAGACTCTGCACATTCAGGGCACCTGGGTGGCCCAGTCAGTTTAGCATATGTCTTCGGCTCAGGTCATGGTCCCAGGGTCCTGGGATCTAGCCCTGAATCAGGCTCCCTGCTCAGCAGGGACTCTGCTTCTCCCTCTCCCTCTGCCCATCCCTGCCCACCCCTGCCCATGCTCTCGCTTTCTCTCTCTCAAATAAATAATAAAATCTTAAAAAAGAAAGTTTCCATACATTAATCCTGTTGATGTTTTGTGTATTGCAATTATAACTTAGAAAGTTACTTCTTGATTTTTTGCTGTCTTTATATTTCTTCTTAACTGAGAAATTAATTTTGTACCAACTGTAAAAAGCATACTTTCAGGCAAGTTTTATGCATCTTGTTTGAGAAAATTTTCTATGCCTCAAGGTAGTAATAGGTCGTTCTACACTGCCTTCTAGACTTGTAATGACTTTCTTTTCTAAATTAATCCATTATTCTTGTAGAATTGCCTTTATTATGATGTGAATTATGAGTCCAATTTTACCTTTTCTCCCCTTTAAGATCACTTAAGATTATTGGTCTGGCATCGTTGATTTAAAGGATTATGGTTTCCCCCCGGGTCTACATCTGTATCATCTATCATTTATTAACTGGAAGAAAAGCCAGTGGCTCCTCAAACAGGACAAGTGACGATTGCTTCTTAAAGGATTGTTTACATCTGACTCTAAAATAGGGAAGGCACACCGGGGTGGCTCAGTCAGTTAAGCATCTGATTCTAGATTTTGGTGTAGGTTATGATCTCAGGGTCGTGAGGTCGAGCCCCATGCTGGGCTACAAGCTGGGCATGGAGCCTGCTTATAATTCTCTCTCTCTTTGCTCCACCCCCCCTCACCTCCCACCTTCTCTAAAAAAAATAATAAATATAAAATAAAATAAATAAAATAAAATAAATAAAATAAAATAGGAAGATTCTCTTGAATTGTCTTGAGCCCAATATAATCACATTCCCTGGCTCCAGCCCCTTTGAAGTCAGCAATGGTGGATCAGGCGTCTTTCACATCTCATCTCCGATGCTTCTTTCATGGTCACATCACCTTCATGACCACAGCCAGGAAAAGTTCTCTACTTTTAAGAACCCATATGATTATATTGGGCCTGAGAGACAACCCAGGATTAGCCGTCTTCATTCTTTTTGCAATGTCTGACTCCCATTTGCCATGTAATATGTTCAGTGGCTCTAGGAATCGGGGTCTAAATGGCTTTGTGGGGCTGTTATTCTGAATACCAAAATGCCTGTGTGAGTGTCATCGAGGAAACCAGGAAGAAAATACAGGTGATGCCTTGCTTGACACCGACTAAAGAATTCATTGTAGTAGAAACGTCCTGTATCTTCAGCCAGAGAGGAAGAACCAAAAAATGAGGAATGAGAACTAACTGGCGTGGATTTCTTTCTCTCCTGTGAAAGTTTGGGCACAACACAGACTGACCAAGAAAATCCGAACCGAACAACCTATTCCTATTTACGCACACTTGGGGACCTTAAATGACGATTTCATGACTCCTTGAAAAGTCGATAAATGGTATGATGGGGAATCAAACCAATAATCTCATCAGCAAATCAAAGAAGTGTTTAATATCCTGTGTTTTGTCACATATGAACCACAAGTATAGGAACCTAAGGACAGTCAGACGGGCGTGCCCGCGCAGGGTTAGCCGTGTGTGGTCAACAGCCCAACGAGGGAGAACACACAGGTCAAACCGACTGGAAATACCCAACCACCGGGGTCTACTGGAACGTGACCTCATCGTACACGTGTTCCAGAGACACTTCTGAGGGGCTGCCGTCATCGTTTGGTAAGAAAACCACCACCTGTGGAGAGACCAGAGCATTAGATTCTTGTAGTCCGTGGTGGGGCGCGGGGGTCCCATCCCACACTCTGAGGAGTGAGATTTCTCTCAGTGGCTTCTTTCTGAGGCCTGATACCTGGTACCTGGTGGGTCTTGCTTTAACTCTCTTTTCCTCACACCTCTTCATCAGTGACAGAAATGACCTTTCTACCAGACAAAGGGACTCTGCAGCGTCTAGGGACAGTTCTTTGGCCAAGTGTGGTTGGCCATTTCCCTCCCTCTCCACCTGGGCCACCTCCTTCAAAGATGATGAAGATTCATATGTGAGGGGCGCCTGGTGGCTCAGCAGTGGAGCCCGCTTCTCAAGGCATGACTCCAGGGTCCCGGGATCGAGTCCCCCATCGGCTCCGCAGGGAGCCTGCTTCTCCCTTTGCCTCCCTCCTTCTGCCTCTGCCTCTCTCTGTGTCTCTTATGAATGAATGAATGAATAAATAAAGATAGATAGATAGATAATCTTTAAAAAGAAGATTTATATATGAAACAGCATTTTGCCCTTTCTCTTCCTAATCTGTCCCAAAAAAGAATAGAGGACACACACACACACACACACACACACACACACACACAAAGACACACACAGTCAGAGAGAGAGGGAGAGGGAGAAACCAAACAAGAACAACAACCTAGGGAGCCAGTGCGCTCACCTTGCTGACGGAGCAGGCGGCCCTACAGGCAGAGACAGCAAGGGCCAAGGCGGTGCAGCCTCCCCCCAGGGAGAGGAGCAGCATCCCCGTCAGCAGCCCCTGCGAATCAGATGTAGATGGCCACACGTCGTGGAGGACAGCCACGCAGGTGCTGTCAGAGCAAACCACGGGGTGGAGGCTGTGGCCAAGCTCACACCTGGTGCCAGTTCATCTAGTCACCAACACGAGCCCCTCTCCACCTCGCAGGGAGTCCTGAATTTTCTCCCAATATGAATATACCAAATAAACAGCTGGAAAGTGGGTTACTAGAATTCTCCCCGTCTACACACAGGCCCCGAGTGTCAGGTGAGCCAGGTGCGGCCACGCTGACCTTTGTTGCTTGTTTGCCCAGCTGCTCCCCACCTGCCAGGACTGTGCGGCCCCCCGGCTTGGCCCATCTCCCTTGGGGGTTAGCCCCCTGACCCCCTGACCTCTCCCCAGTGGTCGGGCCTCCCAAGCACACGCCCGCGCCCGGTCTCTCCAGCTGGCGTCCAGAGTCCCTCACCCTGGGCCCCCGGAGGGCCAGGCCCACCTGTTTCTTCTCAGGTAGTTTTTAAAATCATGAGACAAGTGCCCCTCAGAGAACTGAGCTCTTACGGAATTTCCCGCTCACCTACCACCCATCGGGGCCTTCAGACGTGAATCGTATCAAAAAGCTAACTTTTTCCTCAGGGCTCCTGGCAAGACGCAAAGGCCTAGAGCCCTTCATTTCAGGACGGTGTCCAGCATCTACATGACCCACGGGTGTGCTCAGGTCCACGCTGAGAGTTTACAGAGGAAAGTTCAGACAAAACCAGTGTAAGGGTTTCCGCTACGGGACCAGGCCGTACTCACCGTAAATACAGTTTCATAGGGAGACCTCCACATGGCGCTTTCATACATGTATATTTCTTCAGCAATTATCATACTTGTGCCAATGCCTGCTACGGTAGCACTGAGCGTGTTCATCCCCAGGCTGCCTTGGATCTGAAGAGGGAGGGAGGGAAGTTGTTGTAGACTCTTCTTGTCTTCCTCCCGGGTGAGCCTCACCAGTGAGGGGCACATTCAGGTCCTCCGAGTTGAATTTGGGAATTTACTCGGGGTCTTCCCCAGTCTGACAAAGAAGGGGGGGACCTGGCGTAGTTGAGGCTTTGGCTGTAGCACAGGGAGCTCGCTGCACATGCAACACGCAGACACAGGGCTAAGCCCTGCACCCTTCCCAAGCGCCGTGCTTCTAAGGACGCCCTCCAACAGGCCCTTCCTTAGACAACCGGCAGGTCCTATGCGCCTCAGCCTCGTAGCTGAGTAACTCCCTGTTCCACTAGACCTATCTGAGCCTCCAGAACGACACACTTACCAGACACTTGGTTACCTTTCTTCCAGCGGCGATGGACACCACTCCAGATATGAAGAACTGATCAAGGAGAGAGAGACGGCCCACTCAGGGCTTGCACCTGCACTTCCATCCTTCCAACATCCTCCTGGCTTCCCCCACTCCCCTGCCAAAATGGTCTACACCGTCCACCCGAGCTTAGGACCTAAACAGCAGTTCATGGCTTTTCGAGAGAGAAGGATGAAGTATCACAGACACCTGAAAAACTGCCAACACTGAAACAACCACGAATACTCACAGAGAGGGATCCCCACAGGTGATAGCCCATTTTAGTGGTCATGGAGTGTCCACCTTCATAGTCACGTGGAAAAGGACTGATTGTCACGCCCAGGCACAGCATTACCAGCCCAATCAGGATCTCAGCCACCTGGAGGGTGAAAGACATCATTGTGGGGCAGCTTCTCAGGAGGAAGGTTCTCTCATAGACCAGGGCACATTGACTTCTTTCCCACCTCCGAGACCCCAAGCTTGAGAAGATCTCCCAGGAAAATAACAGTCTACTGATTACGTCTTTTTCCTTGTCCAATGCAGGACATTGACATTCGTCTAAAACATTTTTTTTTCACGTAATTTCTACCTAAGTAGAGATAATTCCTTTTTATTCCAGTGGTGGACAGCTTCACAACATGTCTTTGCATTTCCTGAATCTGTAAGGTTAGTTTAGTTCGGGATGGCTCCATTTAGTCCACAACCATAGTCAATGATCTAGAGAATTGGGGTGTCATTGGGGTGTCATGAGGAAATCCCAGTCTCATCTCAGGAATGGTTCCTCTCCCCACAGACTGTGCTCTGATCTTGGGCCCACTCACCCCTAGGACCTGGGGCTGACCCTTCAGGAAGAGCAACAGACTCTTCTGCTGCTGGGAGGGCAAGACCCAGGTACTTGGTTCACGCAGTTGGGGTATATGCTCACTCTCAGGAAGATTTATTGTGTAGTCCCGGGCTGTCTCTGCCTCAAATGTTCCTTTGCTGCTGTTGACACCAGGAAAGAAAACACTTGTCAGCATAGATCCACATCGAAATGTCTACCTTGTTCAATAGCAAAATCCAGTGCAGCAAATTTTGTATCCTTGGGAAATGTATCATATTTTACTTCCATGTTTCGATTAGGGCATAATCCAGATTTTTCCCATACCTAGCCAAGCAGATAAATCTAGACTGAATTAAAGCTGCCTGTCCTCAGCAATGTGTACACAGTTATTGATCTTAGAGAGTCTAGCCCTGTCAGATTGAAACCCAATATTTACCTTTGTCCCTCATCTTCCCCAAGCAAAAGCAATTCCCATTTATAGCAAAATTTCAAGCAAGATTTTTCCATTCACAAATTTCCTCTAACTCAACCTACAGAGAGCCCCATAGTCTGGGCACTTGTATGCCTCCCACCTAGATTCTTTCTCAGAGTCAAAGCATGGGGCTAAGATGAGAAAAGGTTTCTTCCTACCTTTGCATCTCCTCAGAACACCACAAGTGGGTTATTTTCCCTTCTGGTGTGTGGTCTCTAATTTACGATATTCAAAGACGATGGTCTGCTCTGATGTACAGTGTGTGAAGAAAACATTCTCCAGCGTCCTGGTTTGGCCATTTGTTTCCTGTGACTTATCTCATTCTACTTGCCAAATGAGTATCTGTGATGTCTTAATCTTGGTAACGTATCCTGAAGATAATAACCTAACTCCACTTCTCACACACTATAGACTGTACCAAAGCGCTGTGCGTGTTCTCAACACTGGCTCCTCCCCACAGTCTGTGAGTACCAGACCCTCACCTTTCTGGGCCCACAGTATCCTGATTTTATGAATTTTCATAAATCAAAGCTTCGCTGAGGCCCTTTTTTAAATTAATGCTATTTTATGTTATCTTATATGATCAATGAAGTTGACTTGATGACATACCATGTTAAACTATGCGATACACTTTCCATATTAAACTTTCTAGTTGTAGAGGAAATTTTTAGCATAATCTATGTGACTTTCCTGGACTCGTAGCCCATGGTACACTTACACCTCACTAAATAAGAGTGGTGGTGTCCTTCTGCCCAGTTCTGTCCACTTCTAGCCAGATGCCCACAAAGGAATATTTCCTAGTTATCCATGGCATACGTGCCTGTGAAGAAGAGTGGTCATTTACGCAGGTTGAATCTCTCACAAATTCATCCCTTCTGCCCCTTAGTTGGTCCTCTTACAGGCTGGCACACTGATTCTCAAATACATCAACTTTACAACAATATCCAGCAGTATCTCCTCTATAAGAGTAAAAGTCCAAGGAGGATGATAGCTATGTGTTGGATTAAATATTTGGTCGATTCTCCTAAAGCCACGTGGTCCATGTAGGCTGATTTCCAGTGGTATCTCCTCCCCTGAGGAAGTGCTCTTTCTACTGTCCTCATGTGGGCTAGCAAGTCCTTTCCAATATGATAAGGTGCCATGGAGGACAGTTTTGTTTCTAGGCTATAACCCACACAGCAATCCCATAAGAACCCAACTTTCTCAGGCAAGGTGTGTTGTTCTGAGTCTAGTATTGACAAATGCCTCCACCTCAGTGTGAATCTTGTTATCACTATGCAGTTCTAGGGTTTTGTGCAATCTCAGCCCAACTACTAGGGCAATCACCTACAAATCCCTGGGGACACTCACCTGGGCCCAGTGAACCTCCCACAGATATCTTCCCTTTCCAAACCAGTGTTAGGGCTGGACCAACCCTTGTGGTTATCAGGACTGCGATATGCCCTGCAGCAGCAATCATTAGGAAAGACCTGGGAATTACACAGCACACTGGGGTCACGCAGCAAGGTCAAGGGTGGGAGAGAAGGAGAGAGCAGGGGCCTAGGGGTCTGTTTTTATTGGGAACGAGGGTGAGGACCTAGGGTTTGGGGGACTCTTTACTGGTGAATTTAAAAGAGCAGGAATTTAGAATACTAGGAAGAGAAAAAAACAAGTGGCCCAAATGATCAATGAGGGAAACCAAGACAGGGCTCTACTCCTAAGGAGTCGGTGGCAGAGATGGTCTGACTCTTCACCACGTGGCTGGCAGTGTGTTTATTCTAGATGGCTCTCTTGGAGGTGGTTGCCTCCTTGAAATGAATGTCTCTCAAAATCAAAACTTAAGGTGTCAGACACTTGCGTTACAAAAACAAAGAACTGTCAGGGCTGACACTACACCAGTGCATAAGAACTGTCCTCTGAGGGCAACTCTGGAGGCTCCATGCCTTTACCCACAGTGACAGGCTAAGTCACAAAGTCTGAAGCTCAAAAATTTGCTTCCACTTAGGGGTCAGTCATGTGCCGAAACATTCCTTTCTACTCGGTAGTATTTAGAATTAGTAATATGTCCCCTTATTGTCATATAAAGAAGCGATGTGAGTAATGATCTGCCAGGCTTCCCCTGTTATTTCTAGAAAGTATCTTAATTCTTACACACTGTTCTCTTGGGACTTCCTATCCCCTTGGTCACAGTTCTTTGCTACACAGACAGCTCCTTTAAAAAAATTATTGATTGATTGATTGATTGATTGATTTGAGAGAGAGAGAGAGAGAGAGAGAGAGAGAGAGAGAGACAGGCAGAGGGAGAAGCAGGCTCCATGCAGGGAGCCCAATGAGGGACTCGATCCCAGGACGCTGGGGTCACGGCCTGGTCCCAAGGCAGACGCTCAACCGCTGAGCCACCCAAGGATCCCTTACACATACAGGTCTTCAGTAGTAGGTGATTTTGATTTTGAGTAAATAAAAATCTTCTCGGGAGGTCACGGCGGCAGAAGGCTACCCAGAAAAAGCCAAACCTATCACCTCCTCTTTTTTTAGAGGTGAATCCTGAAGCCGGATCACTAACAATAACCGGGTAATGGGATCCTCAACTAATTTCTTATACCTTGTGCTCCCTGTCAGGCAGCTTTGGTCTGTCTTTCCCAAGTCCCACTCAGATCAAGGTGGGTGGGGAGTCATCCCGATGAGGAGAACCAAGACAAGAGAAATGCAGGTAAAATTAAATTTCCTTACAACTTGTGGCCCACTGATAAATACCTGAGACACACGGACTGTGACCATTCCTCAAGGAACTCACAGCGGCCCTAATGTTAATGCTCTGCTAGAGACCTAACAAACAAAACCACAAAACCTTATCTTGACAACAGCCAGACCTCCAGGGTCCTGTAAGTCTTCTTTAACACCGGGAAATTCCTTTAGAGACTTCTGTTATCTTTACTCCCTCCCAGCATAAAAATATATATAATATTTATATAAATATATATATAATATATAATCAGTTACACCTCACAATTCCAGCGCCCCTCTTTCTGCCCACGGGTCCTGTCCTTGTGATATAATTATTATAATAATTATATATAATTATTAGGCATCTTTTTGCACCAAAAATGTCTCAAGAATCCTTTCTTAACCATTGTGCTCAGTGACTCCACATCAGACCCACATCAGAACCACCATCCCGTTCCCATCATGTCTGCTCACTCTTTCTCTGTTCTTGCCTTTTTATCACAAAACTGTACCACTTCTCTTAAAAACTGATTAGTGGTTTCTAATAAAGCTGAACATGTGTTTTCTGAGACAAGTATCTGATTCAAGAGAAGATTTTTGATAATGAAGAACATTTTGAATCTGGTCAAGTCAGGAACCTTTTCGCAAAATGTGGAAAAGATAGAAAACAGTTCTACTTCTTTTTTCATGCTACCAAATTTCTTTACAGTTGTATTGCCAAATCTACAATAGCCCCGAATTTTGCCCTTTTTAAAAAGTCGATGTAAAGTTGGCACACAATGTTGTATTACCTTCAGGAGCAGAGCGTAGTGATGAAACACATCTGCCTGTTGCAGAGGAAGGAGAATTCTTCCTCTGACCTTCAAAGCTGGGCTAGGAATTCAAATTACATGACATAGATGAACAGGAGGGGGAAAAAAACCAGTTTCATCATGGGTGCAAGAGGTCCAACAACGAAATTGAGGCCCAAAGCAATGACCAAGGCAGGCAGTTTTTATATATTTAGACCAGGATGTTATCCATTTGGGAGGAATTTACAGGAGAAAGAAAAGTATTTAGGAGCTTTAATGAGTAAGGAATTCTAAGCAGAATATGGGCTGAGATAGTAGATTAGTAAAATGTAACAGGGTTTATTACTACAGTTTTCTCACCTTTAAAGAAGGCCCTTTCTCAGGTGATAAGGGTGTCTCTTCACTTCTTAGGACAGGGTGGGTATTTTTCCATATGGGAGATTTGTTTCCTGCTTCCAGAGGGCGAGGAGGGTCTCAGTGTCTTGGCGAAAACTGTTTACCAGGTTGTTTTGATTCAAAATAATCAGTGTGCCACTGTGGCTCACGTTGGGAGTGGCCTGCCCGAGCGTAGCTAGCCTGTCCCTATACGTGCTCCTCACACCCCATTGACCATACTCCAGACGCTGTGCCTTCCACTCCCGTGTCTCGGCCAGAACTGGAAGCCCGTGCCTCCCACTCCCCTTCACACGTGTTTCAATGTTACTTTGAATAAGCATAAGCCAGGATGCCAAGCACATCTGTTAAAGCAAATACAAGCTAAAAATAGAAGGATTAATTCGCCCCATTGAAAATGAGAGAAAAGACTTCCCTCGCCCTCCCTTTCTTGGAATATTTACTTTAGAAAACTAGTAAGTTCTTCCTCCACCTCACTGAAAGGTAGGTACGTCTTTCTGAGACAGGAAAACTAAAGGACTCCATAAAAATCTGCTTTTTGCTCCTTTTCCTGCTTCTATTCCTGCCAGGACCTGCACCTCCAGCCCACTCTATACGTGCCTCACAATGTAACTAACGTGGGTTCCTTCTTGTAAGGGACAAGGAGCTGATGATTTCCCTAGATTGGATCATCTAAGGAAAGATCAAGTGAGAATGATCGGACAAAGCCGTCATACGAGTCCTAGACCACTGGCACCAGACATCTCGATGCCAAGACCCCCTGGCTCTGTGGGATGACCTGTCCCCTTGCCTTTGTTCTAACCAGTTCCTGGATGCCTGAGAGGACACATACACCAGACCTTCATCCTCAGTAAAACCCTCAGACCCTGAACCTCGTTCTCCTTTTCCTTCCAAGTCTCCCAGACACTCCGTCTATATCTGCTCTCTCTACGTTCTCCGTAAACTCTGCTCTCACTTCCTGCTGGCTCACATTTGATTTTGATCCTTCAAGAAACCAAGGACCTTCTTGGCTGGTCTTGCAGGATCTCCTCTGCGTCACTGTACCCAATCTTCTAGCATCATCTTGGAAAGCTTAACCCAGGGGCACCTGGGCGGCTCAGACAGTTAAGACTCTGCCTTTGGCTCAGGTCATGATCCTGGGGTCTTGAGGTCCAGCCACCCATCCCTGTAGTGGGGAGTCTACTTCTCCCTGTCCCTCTGCCCCTACCCTCACCCCTTCATGCTACCTCTCCCTCTCCTTCCCCCCCCCCTCAAATAAATAAATAAAATCTTAAAAAAATAAAGAGAGGAGAGCTTAATATGTCTCTTGACAATTTTAAGACTCAGGAACGCCCTTCTCAAGGGCCTGGGATCCTTTCTTTGAGATAGAGTCATCAAGACAGTGCCCCTATCTCCCAATTTCTGTGGTGGTAAGATCCAG